CGCTAGGTTTTCAGTGGCGCTAGGTTTTCAGTGGCTGTAGGTTTTCTGTGGCGCTAGGTTTTCAGTGGCGCTAGGTTTTCAGTGGCTCTAGGTGTTCAGTGGCTCTAGGTGTTCAGTGGCTCTGGGTTTTCAGTGGCGCTAGGTTTTCAGTGGCGCTAGGTTTTCAGTGGCTCTAGGTTTTCAGTGGCTCTGGGTTTTCAGTGGCTCTAGGTTTTCAGTGACGCTAGGTTTTCAGTGGCGCTAGGTTTTCAGTGGCGCTAGGTTTTCAGTGGCTCTAGGTTTTCAGTGGCTCTGGGTTTTCAGTGGCTCTAGGTTTTCAGTGGCGCTAGGTTTTCAGTGGCTTTAGGTTTTCAGTGGCGCTAGGTTTTCAGTGGCTCTAGGTTTTCAGTGTGGAAAAAGGGGCTTCAGCTTGCTACTGTTGTATTGCTCTGAGGTCATGGCAGGCAGAAACCCCTCATTGTTGAGGCAGTTGTACTAAATACACTTATGGGTTATGGAATGATATGTTTCATTGTGCCGTATTTATAATCTATAGGGCCAAGATATTTTCCTTTTCAGGGCACATGGTCATGGTCTTATCTTTTACCAATCAGGGAAAACCTCCCATCCCTGGGCTGAACTGCTGAGTCTGTGTAATTTCACAGGCTTTAAATCAACTGACTTGCTGAGTCTGTCATTTCACAGGGTTAAATAAACTGAACTGCTGAGTCTGTCATTTCACAGGGTTAATTCAACTGAACTGCTGAGTCTGTCATTTCACAGGGTTAATTCAACTGAACTGCTGAGTCTGTCATTTCACAGGGTTAATTCAACTGAACTGCTGAGTCTGTCATTTCACAGGGTTTTAGGGACTCTTCAGGATGTTGGCAATGAGGAAGTTAGAGGTAGTTGCGCTAACTAGCGTTAGCAGATACCCATAGACTTCCAGCCATTGCGCTAATGCTAGTTAGCATTGGCTCACAAAACAACCTCCAACATCCTTCATACTGAACACAGAGACATACAAATGATATCCACCAAGTTCATCTGACTCTTGGGAAGTACAGTACCAGTCAAACGTTTGGACACACCTACTCATTCAAGGGTTTTTCTTTATTTTTACTATTTTTTCATTGTAGAATAATAGTGAAGACATCAAAACTATGAAATAACACATATGGAATCATGTAGTAACCAAAGAAAGTGTTAAACAAATTCTTCAAAGTAGCTACCCTTTGCCTTGATGACAGCTTTGCACACTTTTGGCATTCTCTCAACCAGCTTCATGAGGAATGCTTTTCTAACAGTCTTGAAGGAGTTCCCACATATGCTGAGCACTTGTTGGCTGCTTTTCCTTCACTCTGCGGTCCAACTCATCACAAACCATCTCAATTGGGTTGAGATTGGGTGATTGTGGAGGCCAGGTCATCTGATGCAGCACTCCATCACTCTCCTTCTTGGTCAAATAGCCCTTACACAGCCTGGAGATGTGTTTTGTGTCATTGTCCTGTTGAAAAACAAATGATAGTCCCACTAAGAGCAAACCAGATCGGATGGCGTATCGCTGCAGAATGCTGTGGTAGCTATGCTGGTTAAGTGTGCCTTGAATTCTAAATAAATCACAGACAGTGTCACCAGCAAAGCACCCCCACACATCACACCTCCTCCTCCATGCTTCACGGTGGGGACCACACATGCAGAGATCATCCGTTCACCTACTATGCGTCTCACAAAGACACAGCGATTGGAACCAAAAATCTCAAATTTGGACTCATCAGACCAGTGGACAGATTTCCACAAGTCTAATGTCCATTGCTCGTGTTTCTTGGCCCAAGCAAGTCTCTTCTTCTTATTGGTGTCCTTTTGTAGTGGTTTCTTTGCAGCAATTCGACCATGAAGGCCTGATTCACGCAGTATCCTCTGAACAGTTGATGTTGAAATGTGTCTGTTACTTGAACTCTGTGAAGCATTTATTTGGGCTGCAATCTGAGGTGCAGTTAACTCTAATGAACTTATTCTCTGCAGCAGAGGTAACTCTGGGTCTTCCTTTCCTGTGGCAGTCCCCATGAGAGCCAGTTTCATCATAGCGCTTGATGGTTTTTGCGACTGCATTTGAAAGTTCTTGAAATTGACTGACCTTCATGTCTTAACGTGATGATGTACTGTCGTTTCTCCTTGCTTATTTGAGCTGTTCTTGCCATAATATGGACTTGGTCTTTTACCAAATAGGAATATACTCTGTAACCCACCCCTACCTTGTCACAACACAACTGATTGGCTCAAACGCATTAAGTCATTTAGCAGACGCTCTTATCCAGAGCGACTTACAGTTAGTGAGTGTATTCATTTTTCATACTGGCACCCCGTGGGAATTGAACCCACAACCCTGGCGTTGCAAGCGCCATGCTCTACCGACTGAGCTACAGGAGGCCTCATCAAGGCAAAGGGTGGCTACTTTGAATAATCTCAAATATAAAATATATTTTGATATGTTGAACACTTTTTTGGTTACTACACGATTCCATATGTGTTATTTCATAGTTTTGATGTTTTCACTATTATTCTACATGTAGAAAATAGTGAAAATAAAGAAAAACCCTGGAATGAGTAGGTGTGTCCAAACGTTTGACTGGTACTGTAGATAAAGGGCCAACATCCCAAAGTATCCCTTTAAATCAACTCACACACTTTCCACATTTCAATACCCGGAAGAGGCAGTGCTAAATAAAACAGAATGATTCCCTAGATGACACTTTCACAAACCAACTCTTCTGTGTCTAACACCACAGATGGGCCATACTTGTCACATGACATGCCAAAGCGCACAGACACACATACACACAACCCCCCCCCCCCACCACCACCACCCAAAAAACCAGCAATGAGAACTACAAGCTGTCTCCTCATATCAACAGTGAGTCCAAACAAACCCAGCCATGTATCCCTCTGGCAGATCCTTATTACTGCAGGTCATAATTACACACTGAAACCAAAACATTAAACCTGTCTGGAAACAAACCGTGTTTTCAAGCCCGGAGGCCACATCAATTGATACAGTGAGAGAGAGCTGATGTTATGACTCAATCTCTATTGCACCCAATGCCAGGGAAAGTGTTTGTCCAAACTGAAGACAAAGTTTGAGTTGAGAAATCAAATCGCCAACTCACTCTCAAAAAGCATACAGTGGCTTGCGAAAGTATTCACCTCCCTTGGCATTTTTCCTATTTTGTTGCCTTACAACCTGGAATTAAAATGGATTTTTGTATCATTTGATTTACACAACATGCCTACCACTTTGAAGATGCAAAATACTTTTTATTGTGAAACAAACAAGAAATAAGACAAAAAAACAGACAACTTGAGCGTGCATAACTATTCACCCCCCCCCCAAAGTCAATACTTTGTAGAGCCACCTTTTGCAGCAATTACAGCTGCAAGTCTCTTGGGGTATGTCTCTATATTGCTTTAGCAGTATGCTTAGGGTCATTGTCCTGCTGGAAGGTGAACCTCCGTCCCAGTCTCAAATCTCTGGAAGACTGAAACAGGTTTCCCTCAATACTTTCCCTGTATTTAGCGCCATCCAGCATTCCTTCAATTCTGACCAGTTTCCCAGTCCCTGTCGATGAAAAACAGGATGGTGTTCTCGGGGTGATTAGAGGTGTTGGGTTTGCGCCAGACATAGCGTTTTCCTTGATGGCCAAAAAGCTCAATTTTAGTCTCATCTGACCAGAGTACCTTCTTCCATATGTTTGGGGAGTCTCCCACATGGCTTTTGGCGAACACCAAACGTGTTTGCTTTATTTTTTCTTTAAGCAATGGCTTTTTTCTGGCCACTCTTCCGTAAAGCCCAACTCTGTGGAGTGTACGGCTTAAAGTGGTCCTATGGACAGATACTCCAATCTCCGCTGTGGAGCTTGGCAGCTCCTTCAGGGTTATATTTCTCTTTGTTGCCTCTGATTAATCCCCTCCTTGCCTAGTCCGTGAGTTTTGGTGGGCGGCCGTCTCTTGGCAGGTTTGTTGTGGTGCCATATTCTTTCCATTTTTAATAATGGATTTAATGGTGCTCCGTGGGATGTTCAAAGTTTCAGATTTTTTTAAATAACCCAACCGTGATCTGTACTTGTCCACAACTGTGTCCCTGACCTGTTTGGAGAGCTCCTTGGTCTTCATGGTGCCGCTTGCTTGGTGGTGCCCCTTGCTTAGTGGTGTTGCAGACTCTGGGGCCTTTCAGAACTGGTGTATATATACTGAGATCATGTGACACTTTGATTGCACACAGGTGGACTTTATTTAACTAATTATGTGACTTCTGAAGGTAATTGGTTGCACCAGATCTTATTTACGGGCTTCATAGCAAAGGGGGTGAATACATATGCACGCACCACTTTTCCGTTATACATTTTTTAGAATTTTTTTAACAAGTAATTTTTTTAATTTCACTAAACCAATTTGGACTATTTTGTGTATGTCCATTACATGAAATCCAAATAAAAATCCATTTAAATGACAGGTTGTAATGCAACAAAATAGGAAAAACGCTAAGGGGATGAATATTTTCGCAAGGCACTGTAGCTGTCTTGTTTAGACTTTGACTGCCTTTGTTGATGAAAAGTACATTCTAAAACTGGTAGAAATTATGCATTTTCAAAGGAAAAACTGGTTGAAAATATCATTTAATTTCAACCAGTTTTGTCCACCGAATGGGCAACAGGCTTTTACCTTTGACAAAGGCCTAGCTCTCAGCATACCTGACCTCACTCCTATTTCAATCAATACATATAAATAGCCCAAGCAGAAGTCAAACCCATAACCTTGTTCTATGCAGCCCATGTGGGATCATTACATACCAGACTCCTGCAGTACTTAAATCAATACCCTTGACAAAGACCTTGAAATAATATTCAGTCCATGCGGACCTATGGGACTTTTTGGTGCCATGTGGGACAAACCCTACATGTTATACTTGTTAGTAACATGTTATACTTGTCAGTAACATGTTATACTAATCAGGTTATTCTACCTGTCTCGTCTCTGACACTGCTCCTGCTGTCTGAGCTGGAGAAGGCAGCCTCCAGGTCCAGCCGTCCGAAGCGCAGGGCGTATCCGTTCATCAGCTTCTTTGGTGAGGGGACTCCACTGCTGGCCGAGCCCCCGGAGGAGGAGCGCGCCCGGTGCCCTTTGACCTGGGCCGCCTTGTTAGTCCTCTCCAGAGACTTGGAGCGCCTCTCAGCCCGGTTCTCCAGGCCCCCCGCGTTCCTCAGACCCCTCTGGAGGTACAGGAGAGGCGTGCTGGGAGAGAGTCGGGGGGAGTCGGGGTCCCCACCCAGCCATGACCTGGCCCCCCCTAGCCTGGCCCCACGAGGCCCTTGCTCTCTCTGGGTGGTGGTGGGGGTGGAGGGGCTGCTACCAGGGGTCGCGGCTGGGGATGAGGTGTCCTCTCTGGGGCTGAGAGGGCTGAGACCTGAGCATGCAGGGCTGTTCTCTGGTCCTTCCTCCAGGATGGACTCTGAGCTAGAGCCAAGGTTCATGGGGTTCTGCAGGGCCTCCATGTAGGACTTACGGAACAGTCTCCGGGTCTCGAAGGACACAGAGTCCCTGGCGTGGCGGGGGCGGCGAGGGCTGGGGTTACTGAGGTCGGTGCTGAACGACAGGGTCCTGGTCCTCTCTCTGGTCCCACCCTGGCCCTCCTCCCCCTCCCTCTGGCCCTGCCCCGGACCACCACCACCCTCCCCAGCCAGCCTGTCTGTCTGTGGGCTGCAGGAGTGAGAGTCAGGAGCTGCTCTCAGGCTGTGGTTTTGGTTGTGGTTGTGGTTCTCCATCTGGTGAAGTCCTGGGTTGGGATCCTGTTGGGACCTCCTACTAGTGCTGCTGGGGTCCATAACATGGACCCGCCTGCTCAGGATAGCAGGCTCTGAGAAGGTTGAGTCTGCCCCCTGGGAGTGTAGTGACTCGTGGGAGCTGCGGTGGGAGTCTAGGGTCCCTGTGGATCCACTGGTACTGCAGGCGCTGAGCTGGCCACGGAAGCCCGTGCTACCGCCCCGTGCCTGCATGATGGCGTCGGCCGTGCTGCTGACGAACAGAGGATTCACCACGTTCTTCCACGGCGTCCGGTACACGACGGTGCCGGTGGTGAGCAACCAGTTCTGGAGCGGGTGGAGGTTGCGCTCGCGAGTCACATTCTGCAGGAAGTCAGCGGTGAAGACGCTGCCGTACATGTTCTCCGGGATGGGGATCTCTGCGATGGCTTGGCCGCTGGCAGACAGACATTTTATGACCAGCTTGGCAGCCTTGCGGCCCAGAGGAACCACCTGCAGGTAGAAGTCTCCCTGCTTCAGACGGACCTTGTGGAGAGGGGCGAGCTGCAGGACCACCTTCTCGTTGATGCAGAGGGGCCAACCCTCATGATAGAACAGCAGGCCGTGGAAACGCACCTGTAGAGGAAGACAATACTTTATTAACCCATACCAGACTGAAATGTGTCTTCTGCTGTATCCAACCCCTCTGATATACACATACATACACTTCACAGATGTAAGATCTTAATTTGTCACAGCAAAATAATCCTGCAGCAACAGGATTTGAACATTTAGTCCATAATATTGCTTGATCGGTGGTTAGGCTATTAGCTGGCCAGAAGTAGGTTACATGAAAGTGCAAAACTGTTAATATAACCATGTGTTAGTGTGGGTTTTTCAGTGAATTTAGGTAAATCAGGAAAATTCTCAGCAACAAAAGAGTGATCAAATGATGACCCTACATCTGTAGATTAGAGAGATTGGAGCAGTGTGCAACCACAGGTATAGAGAGATGGACAACACAAAAAACAGACAGTCACTCACCACAGCAAAATTTCATCAGTATTATACAGTATTCCTGACATGTTTTAGATGTTCTCACAGTTATACTGGCATGTAAAGAGTGTATAGAAGTTAATTCAGAATTGATATTTCAGCTTATTTAGTGGCTGGCTCAAACATACATTCCAGTTTTATAGAGAGAGGCACCCTCTTTTCATAGCACTTGAGAGAATAATCGTTCTCATTCCAATGAGCTGATTCCTCAGAATCCTGGAGGCTTGTGAAACCTGCCTGATCAGGCCTGGTTACTAAGCAACCACAACCCAAACTCTAAACCATGACACTGTCGTATAAAGAGCTCTTAAAAGTAGAGAAACGGTACTCAGGGCTTGTGTCACAAATGGCACTCTATCATATAGTGCACTACTTTTGACCAGAGCCCTATGGTCAAAAGTAGTGCACTAAATAGGGAATAGTGTGCCATTTGAGACGCAACCAAAGTTACTCTTTCTCGTCTATTTCCCATTGGCTCAACTGTTGTAAAAGTGAAGGAAAAGCCAGCGTGGCCTGAAGACTGATCATATTGCTGTTGACACAAAGCCTCTCACACACGGGGAGTTTTTCTCAGCGGCTAGCCAGGTTTAGATAGCGAGTTAAAACTATTGCCGTGTGGCTACGAGGCTATCATCACAGTGTAATCACAGCAGATGAATACAGAGGAATAGGGTTTCGGGGACTTTGGTCATGGAGACATGGAGCCCTCTCTAACCCACAGCTATCAAAGCTGCTGGGAGAGCCAGGATTAGATTACAACCTGGACCCCTGAGCCCATGGAAGGCAGCTAGGCTCTCAGGCAGACCACAGCTTTCTCTCTGTTTCGGGTCTCTATTCAGAGCAGGAGGGCTGGGTTGTGCGTCCCAAATGACATCCTATTCCCTATATAGTGCACTACATTTGACCTGGTCAGGTGCGATTTGGGGCGCAACCTCTGTCTCATTCCAGAGTTTTCTCTCTGTTTCTGTGTCTATGGCTCCAGAGCAGGATGGCTGCATGGGCTTTCGGTCTGGTTTCTATGAACAATGATGCATTCTGTCTCACTCTGTTGTTCCCCCCCACCCTCTCAGCAGAGATATTTCCCACTCATCTCTCTCTCTCTCTCTTCTCACATTCTCTCTCTCCTGTCTTGTTTGTTGTCCGTCTGTTCTCATCACTATGTTGTAATGATGTCTATAATGGTGTGTATTAGTGTTTAGATTAGAACTGATTAATATAGTAATAGTAAACATGATGGGAGTCTTTTGGCCAGACTTTATAGTCTCTGTCCGTCTGCTCCACTTTATACCTGATCTTTTAGTTTAGTTTATTTCCCCTTCCTCTCTGTCTTTTCTCAGCCTTATAACCACAATATGTCTCTTCAGTGAGACTAAAGCCAGGAGAGATCAAGGTTCACATACAGCATCTCTCTCCACAGCTCCAATAGGTCTACAGGAAAGGGAAGACTTGGAAAAAAGCTGCCTGTGTTACGTTTCGAAAGCATTCATATTCACTTCAAAACTTCCTGAACTCTATTGCTTTGGAGAGTACTCTCTCTCTCTCTCTCTCTCTCTCTCACTCCTTCCCTCTCTCCATCCCTCCCCTCCACTCACACAAGTCTCTTGTTGGATGCTCTGCAGGATCCTCTTGGCAGGAAGTAGGAAGTCGATGAGGCATCGGAGTCCGTCCCCACGGTACTGTCTCTCCACCACGCTGAACAGCTGCCACAGGACGGTGGACGCGGTGGCACTGAATGGAGGGTACAGTGCAGACAGGGTGCTCTGGATACAACTGTCCAGGGACTCAGAGTCCTGTAGGGGCAGAGGATAGGAGATAGGAGAGGAGGAGAGAGGTGGATTAGATACAGTCCTGCTGAGAGAGGAGAGGAGGAGAGAGGTGGATTAGATACAGTCCTGCCTGAGGAGAGGAGAGGAGGAGAGAGGTGGATTAGATACAGTCCTGCCTGGAGAGAGGAGAGGAGGAGAGAGTGATGAGATACAGTCCCTGCCTGAGAAGAGAGGAGAGGAGGTGGATTAGATACAGGTCCTGCCTGAGAGAGGAGAGGAAGGAGGAGAGGTGATTAGATAAGCGATGCCTGGGAGAAGAGAGGAGAGGAGAAGAGAGAGGAGAGGAGAGCGGAGGAGACGGAGGGGAGGAGGAGGAGGAGGAAGAGGAAGAGGAGGAGAGGTTACAGAGCAGACAGGGTCTCTGGATACAACTGTCCAGGGACTCAGTCCTGGTAGAGAAGATGAAGAACAATATTTGTTTATTGTCCACGGATGTCAAATGGATGTCACATGGCGAAAGAGAGGTAAAGAGAGAGAGAGCAAGAGAGAGAGAGAGAGAACGAGATAGTTTTTACAAATCCAGTTAGTTCACCTGTCCCCTTCATGATGTAATGATGAAGCTCGTAGTTCAGCCGTTAGTAATGAACATGTGCAGACATTGGCAGGTTTTATCTAAGCTACTGTACGTATGAAAAGTGTTCTTTGCTTGAGGCCAACATTTAGCATAAAGACTTCTTATATAATGTGTGCACGCCCACAGTGCACATCCACGTGAGAACACTTTGGTACAACATGACACAAACATACATGGGACGTTCCAACAATGAAGGGCCTTTTTGAGCAGTGTACCTTGATGAAAAGTAAAACCTCATTTTAACATTTTGCCTTAAAGATCACATGTTCAACTAAAAACAAACATGTTCTCCCATCTCAACAAATTACTATAGTAAAGGCCTATTAAGTGGCCAAATAAGTAACAGGTTGACCGTAACAGGTTGACAGTACAGTGAC